CTGTTTATTTAAAGCACAAGCCTCAAAACAGAGTCAGTGTGCAAGCTCTTAACAATACCATTCCTTAAGTTGAGGCAGAAAAGAAAAATCTCAGCCTAAAAATAGCAGGGGTGCAAGAGATTTTATTGTGACTTTTCAGTTTTAGAGAAGGAGAAGCCCATAAAAAACCTCGATATTGATGCTATAATCCCATAACTCCATAGTTATTCCTAGTCAGATGTATTAACAGGGAGTTAATATTGAGAGTTCTTAGTAATTTATAGTGGAAAATGTAACAGAGTGGTAGTTCTAAATTATGCCATTCAGATTTAAAACCAGTTTTAAAGAAATCCATTGTGCACTGTGTGTGGTAATAAAAATGCCACAGATTTTGAATCGATACATACTAATGTGGTGAATGTTAGGCTGTAATAATTTTCAAAGCTATACTTAATATTTTTTCTTTATCCTAATTTACTTTGCTGAGTGAAATGGGGACGCCTACATTCTTAAAAAAGAAGTGTGAGTAGAACACACCTTTACAGGCATTGATGCAAGAACCAGTGTGAGTAAGAAAAAAGCAGTTTTGTCAACAGATATGTGTTTGTCCACATGAGCCTTGCCAGAGTGAAAGCTGTGTCTGCTCTTTAGTGATGTTTAACTGCTGAGTGCACCCAGACACAGACTGCAACCCTCAGGTCATTTTGCATATTGAAAAGTTGTGGCTAGTTGACAGTTTGCCCATCTCTGGATTAAATGTGGAATTGGTAGTAATTGTGTAACTGTGAGATCATCTGTGAGTTAAAATCTGTGTTTACTCGTGATAAAAACTCCCAATCTGCAATAAACAGGGCCATTTTTCAGTATTCAAACACCCTCCCATTAGGAGGGGAGAGGAGAAAGAATGACATGTTCTTGAAAAAGATATAAAGCAGAGCAGTCTTGGTGAGAATAACATCAGATGAATCCTTGCCACTCCTGGGGTGAGCACCAGGCACTCTGGACCTTGTGGCTGTGGAACTCGGCACAGCAGAGAGAGGCTGGTGAAACATCCACAAATTTGCTTCCCAGCCCAGTTGTTTATCTTGTATGTTTTAAATACTAAGATTATCTCTACAGGATTAGTAGAATCCCTCAGATCTCTGAAAGGGCAGCTTCAAAGTTGGCTGAACCCCCACTGATGGAAGGGGTGAGGAATGCAGAGTGTGGGAAGCATCCATTAGGAGAAAATAATGCCTTGGTAACAAGGATTTGTGAGAAGGAACTGCTTAGCAAACACTGAAGGTTGTAATGAATCCTGTTTGGATATACAGATAAAAATTCCAAGCAGGAGAAAGTTGATACAGGAACTTGGAGCCTTCTAACAGCTTGGCTTCAAAGCTCAGTTTCTTTACATCTCAGACCAGGTGGGTCAATGCCAAGGATGGAGAAGCAGGTGGTGTTTGTCGGCTTTATTCCATAGGCCACAACTCAATTTCCTCTCCCCTTTCTGCTGCACTCTGCAGTCAAGAGTGTGAGACCAACCCTGTACTCATCTAAATCAGTAATTAGGCTTTAATACCTGGTCTCAGGGCACTGTGGGAATTGCAGCTGTTCTGATCTTTTGGAGTGGATGGAATGGTGTGAGCCCTGCTGCTGAACATCCTTGTCCATCTTGGAATACTAACTTTGAACTCAATGTCAGTTTTAGTGTGTGGAATGTTTCTAAATGTGAAAACACAGTACCCTTTAAAAAAGAAATACATATATATTATTCATTTCTCCTAAGGGAATACTGGAATCTTTCTTTCAACTTTTAGACACAGATACACAGTTTCTACTTTAAGAGGCAGGATTTTCATGTTATGGGGCTTTTTCCTCCCACAGCCTCCCCAGCTGATGCCTTTCCCACTTATTAATTGGGTATTCTGTCCTCAGTTGAGGGAGGGATGTGGGATAGCAAATTAATTATACGGAGTTGAACTATGATTCAGGGCCATGCTTCTTGGACTGCTAAGCCTGTTTTGATGAGCATGAAAATCCAGAAACACCTAGCAGAGATTGTTTCCATCCTCTGGAGTAGATTTCCAGTGTGTAAAGGAGAGCAGTGGCTGTATCAGGAGTTTCCTATTGGTGGGTTAGTGGTGGAGCTGTAAGAAATGCGAGCCAGGACTGACTTTTGGCTGTCCATTAATTATGCTGGACAGGCAGGACTGACATGGAACTTTGGCTTTTCTGAGCCTTTTCAGTCCTCCATGCTTTTAAAAATTACTTTAACATGAGGGGGGCTTTTGATAGTGCATTATTTGTCTTTTTATCAGCATTGCTCATGGAATTAGTTTTAAGTGGGCAGTAGTCTGAGGGGGGCAAATGTCAGGAACTACAGTCATGGAGGTGGCTGTAGGACAGTAATGTAACAAAAGTAAGTGGATTAAGCCCTTAATGCCACTAGAGAAAAGATTTGTGTGTCCAGCTGCCTGTGAAGCCAAACAGTTTGTTAGGTGCCTATGCAAAAAAGGCTTGGATTAAAAAACAAACAAAATGGGAGAAGGTTTTGTGACTTCAGCAGCAGCTCTGGTCAGTGCCACCTTGCAGGGATCTGTGCTGAACAACCCCAGCAATGGCCCAGCAGAAAGGTAAACAGCTTAATGGAATTCATCAGGGTATTAAAGGTGCGGCTCTGCAAGCATGAAAATAAGCAGAGAACTGAGGCAGGAGAACTGATATTAGCAGAACAGAGAGAAAAAGAGAAAAGTCAACTCAACAAACACACATGAAAATAACCCCGGTGATGGAGTAGCACCCTGAAAATTTAAGAAATAATTCATGTGTGGTTGAAAGAGTGTGAAGTGATAACAGGGAGCTATGGCTGCAGAGACTTGGCATCTGGTCCTGGAGCAAATAAACCTGAGTTGTTGACTTTGGGGCTTAGCTCAGCAGCAGAGAGAGGAGAATGTGACCACATCCAAGGTTAGGGTGTTTGTGACTTGCAGGATTTGATGCAAGGGTAGTGGATTTGGGAGTCACAGCAATTGATCACTATTTGAGTGGAAAATACAATTTTTTCTGTATTTCACTGATTTGTTTAGCATTTAAATGTATTAGTTTATTGCACATTGTACTATCCCTTTCACACTTCTTTTTTAAGGTTGCTTGATAATATGTTTAGGTGGTACCTCCTGAAAATTCAGGTATATTATAGAATATTTAACAATAGCAACTAAAATGCTTGTTTGGTAAAGTTATTGAAAATTATTTCCTTTTTTTTTCAATTAGCTACTAAAAATGAGGACATTCTTTCAAAGTCAGTGAGAGTTCACATGATTAATCATAAAGATCCATTTTGAAACCCCCTTGTACTCTATAATAATAGAAGAGCTACAAACTTCATTTTATTTTCTTCATTACTTATTATGTCCCCTTTAGAACCATTTCTTTATTATAGTCTAACATGTAAATATTATTTGGACTACTTTTAGAGTACACAGTACTATAAAACTCCAATTACTTACTTTGACAACTGTTATGCTAGTTATTAAAATGCACTTTAAAGCTGAGTTCTCCTTCCTGTTTAGTCACTCTGTGGTTTGGTGGTGTTTGTTAAAAATTATATGACTGCTCATACAGCATAAAAATGAATTTTAAAAATTACTCTGCTCAAGAGCATTAGGCAGTACAAGCTCCATAGGAGGCGTTTGATGGCCAGTGTTTTTCATAATTGCCTGTTAAAGAGTTTCTTGCAATGTAGAAAGCCATGTAAACCAAGAGGGGCATTGTTTGGGGTGGATATGGCACATTCTTTAAGCTCTGCCCTCAAAATCAGAGTAACCACTGGGCTTAGAAAGGGCAATGTGTTTGGAGGAGGAGGAGGAGGAGGTGGTACTGGACTCATGTTCCCCAGACACTATAACCCATTTCCCAGCCAGATAACATTCTCCTTCCTTTATTTGCAAGCTTAGAGTCCATCATAAAGTCTGTGAACTGCAATAGGCCTTTGTGTTAGGGTGTTTACCCTGGGAAAATGTGGATATAAATAAATTTAAATACTGGATGTGGGAGTAGGAGGCATTCTCAGTAGTAATGTAGACACACCTTCATGCACCATACCAGGCGAGATGGCACTGCTTCAGGAAAGGCTGTAAAAAGAAGAATAAAAAAGGGTTGTATAAAACAATTTAGTATTTCTGAGGGAGACTCTAAAATTTTCCATAGCTGTGTGGTACATTTTTATTAATAGGCTGTAATGTACCTTTCATCATCATTCAGATGTAACTGAGGGAGGCTTTTAGAGCACAGCAGTGACATTTCCACAATCTTGACAACAGTTAATCCATGTCCTGGGCTTACCAGGCAATGGTTTCAGCACCACTGTACACTGCAGTTTCATGCTGTGGTTTTACCCATCTTTTCAGCAACTCTCCAGCCACTGCTGGATGGATGTTAAATGCTCTGAGTGTGTTCATGTTGCTAAGTTGTTGGTGCGCTGCGAAAATACCCAATTTAAGGTACTGCTATGAGTTTTTCTCTGGAGGGAGCCTGATTTCTCCATTGCCTTTGTAGGTGATCATCACATCTTGACTGGAACTTCCCTCTCACTTCCTCCATGCTCAGGAAGGCACATTGTGTTTCTAGTCTGGGCATTTTTCACGGGCTTGTTTTCCCCTAAGTGCAGGAGTCCATGAGTTGATGAGGGTGGAGCCAAAGTCAGCAGGGGCTGATCTCTCACAGGAACCTGCAGATACCTGTGTCCTCATTTTGCCATTGCAGATTTGCATTTGCCATCCAAGTGCATGTTGTGTTTCCTTGTCCACACGACTCCTCACATGTGCATGGGGGTTTGTAAACAAAAATGGAATTGGCATAATGATGAAAAACAAGCAAATTCCTACTATGTGTCAATGTGTCTGCCCTGACTTCCCATCTGGGCTGGAATTCATAAGGCAGTTAATGAGCTTTCCATGTGACTGTGTTTGACGTACCCAAGCATTCTTTGGTCTCTCACCCCTAGCTGTGGAAGTAAAGTCTCTGATTCTGATTGCCAGAACCCCCCTGATTGCTGCTGGAGTTATTGGTGGCCTCTTCATCATCGTCATCATGGGCCTGACATTCGCCGTGTACGTTCGGCGCAAAAGCATCAAGAAGAAGAGAGCGCTGCGAAGGTTCCTGGAGACTGAGGTGAGCCAGGGCTGTTCCTCACAGGCTGTCTGGGGAGGCATGCAGGGCTCTCTGCTTTTATATTAGAGATGTTCAGGTCTTCCCTGACCTGTAGAAATCCTTCTGCTTACCTGTGCGGGCTAAACTGGTGAAAAGAACAAAGTGGTTTCAAGGTGCTGGTTTTCTGTGCAAGTACGGATTCATGGCTCCTGAAGAGCAGGAAAAGTGTCCCACCAGATTTCTCAGCTCCCATCCTGCTCTCCACTGAACTTCTGTCCCAGTTCATCAGTACATTTAGCAGCTCTCATGCTGAAATATTACAGGGTTTCATTCTGGCCATATGTAGGTTGACTTTTAAGGCTAAAGTTCTTTCCGCAAGCTCTGGTACGAACTTCATGCTTAAAGGCAGACGTTATAACTTACTGTTGTTCCCAGTGCCTACAATACCTTTGTAGTGCAAATTTTGTCAAAATCCGGACTGCAGATTTTGTAGTACAGATTTTGTCAAAGCCTGTAATAATGTATTTTATTAAGCTAAGATACTTCACAGAGCTGAACCAATGGACGTTCACAGTTCTACTGGCAATAGCATGTAGCAGAGCTAGAGCACAGTGCTGTGATGGCTCCATCCTGCTCTTTGAAGTGTCACTAGTGAAGGGGGAAATCCAGGATGTATATTTAAATAGAACATTAAATGTACATCTCTCAGCTACTGCAGTGGTGATTACTGCAATCTCCTCAGTCCGATATTTGAGACACTTTGCAAATTATGGTATTTTTAAATTAGGATGCTCCTTTGTGAGGTAATAAAGCTTGGAAATGCTGTTAGCTAGTGACTCTTTGATAAGGCATTATTGACAGTGCTGTTTTCTCTTCTGTTCCAAGGGTTCTGCTCCCACTCAGCTCCACTGTAGATCCTGGGAGTACATGATTTATGCATCCCCAGTCTGTTTGCACAAGTATCTTCGTGTTTGGCTAGAATTTGTGTTGCTTGTTAAACACTGTTCAGCTGTATAGAAAGCTTAACAATACTCAGTGCCTTTAGATTAATAAATCTTGCCACTGTATCAGCCCATACTTAAGCATAAATTATTTTAAGCAGGTGGTTCTCCTTGCATTGGCTTTGAAGTCCAGATTTCATTTTTCATTTGGTCAGATAAAAGCTGTGGCTGGCAATAGTCCTGAGGGACCAGGGCCTCCTACTGAACATGTGGGGAAGCTGCTGTCTTGGCTGAGAAACTGAAGATTAAATCAGGAGCATCCTGAAATAAACACACAAGCAATTAGCTTTAGTTGAAGTCTCTCTTTTTAGCTGGAGGCTGTAACAGGACTTACTTTTTCTGTATATCATTCTCCATCAAACCCTACAAGCCTGGTTTTAGACCCCCACAACACATCCCCACCCCTCCCTGCCGTTCCTGTGTTGGTGGACTGTGGCACAGAACGTCTTTGCATCCTTCACAAACTGAAATTACAGAAGTGTGCTGGCAGCATGCCTAATTTTCTTTTACAGCAAACCTTTCTTTTAGGGTATAAATACTGAACATCTAAAGTGGGAAGAGAAATCACTCAACTTGCTGCTTGCAACTTTTGTTATGTTTTCTTACCTGTTAATTGCCAGGTACTGGTATTTTTACCTGAACAAAATTAATTAGTTTGGTCAACTAATTAAGTAGTTCACGGTACCCAAAGAGCTAAAAGAAGTAGTTCTCAAACTGCAGAGCATGGCGCATTGAAGTGCTGCATTGTTTTCAAACCAATTTCAGTAGGAGGACCTCTGAATTATTTTCCTCATCCTATAAAGGAACAAAATGTTTTTCATGTGTTGTATTGTGTATTGTGCTCTACGTGTATTTTAAATTTATTTTTAAAGAAGGATTGTTTTTCTGGCAGAGATGGTATGAGATCTAAGAGCATTTTTAACTGAATGTGCCATTGTGGCTCATTTACAAAGTTTCTTGGGACATCTTGAGCAAATTGTTTAATTGCAGTAAATTAGTGGCTGTTATAAATTAGTTGTCTGCTCTAAGGTGTTTTCTCCCTAAAGCTGTCTTCCTGTGTGGTAAAACAGAAGTTCAGAAAAATTGTCCCTTCTTCAAAACAGAATAAGAATGTGATGAGCCGTTTAGTCCAGGCCATTAAAAAGAAATATGGCCAACTTAAAAGACACTAAAATGGGCAAAAATAGGATGTGGTACACTGATAATAAATGCTATATTTCTGTCATCTAGAAAATATTTATACTGCCTCCATTATCAAAAGTCCTTGGATGTGTTACTCTGACACCAATTCAATTTCCAGTTCATAATTCCATCATGCAGTTTCTGGTGGAAATTACTGCATTTGAGTGAGAACTTGCTTTATCGGGTCTCTTGGTTTCGTGGCGTTGCTCGTTTGCTTTTGAAGATGAAAAATCCCTCCAAGAGTTGGCAGGGCAGGGGTCAATAGATCTCCACCACTATCTTGTTCCAGTATTTCCTTGGGTTGGTTGCTCTCAGTACAAACTTGTGACGGGTCTCTGTGTTCAGCAGTGTTTGGGACTGTTGGGTTTTCCTTGCAGCTGGTGGAACCCTTGACCCCGAGCGGCACGGCACCCAACCAAGCCCAGCTGCGCATCCTGAAGGAGACAGAGCTGAAGAGAGTCAAGGTCCTGGGCTCTGGAGCCTTTGGAACAGTGTACAAGGTGAGAGCCTTCCCCACACAGCCCTCTTTTACCTCTGGAGCAGGCAACTTCTGCATTGCAGCAGAGCAGCCTGTCCCAGGGGTGGTTCCTGAGCCCTGGCAGAGAAAGGAGACTGGAATTGTGTGCAAAGAACTCATCTATAGTATTTGCAGGGAAATGTCCTGATGAAGGAAGGAATGATTAATCTGACTCCAGGTTCTCAGAAGGCTAATTTATTACTTTGTAATACTATATTATATTAAAGAATACTATACTATACTAAAGAATACAGAAAGGATACTTACTCAATGCTAAAAAGATAATAATGAAAAGTCATGTCTCTTTCCAGAGTCCTGACACAGCTTGGCACTGATTGGCCATTGAGTCAAAATAACTCACACTAGAATCCAATGAAACAATCTCCAGACACATTCCAAAGGACAAAACACAGGAGAAGCGAATGAGATAAAAATTGTTTTCCTTTTCTCTGAGGCTTCTCAGCTTCCCAGGAGAAAAATCCTGGGCAGAGGGGTTTTTTCAGAGAATGTGAATGACACACTCATCCTCAGCATCAAATGGTACATGCAAATATTATTTCTTGGTGAGCAAAGACATGTTAGCCCCAGTCATTTTTGTGTGCAAGAGAGTAACACAAGCTGGACTGTCCTGCTGGCAAAGTGCGGCACCAAGGTTTGCCCTTCTGCTCTTGCCTAAGAGCGCCTTTTATCATCTTCCATCTTTTGGAAAGATGGATAAACATTGTCTTTCACAAGTGTCACCTGGATCTTGCAACAGCAATAATACCTAGTAAAAACAATGCCATTACCTAAACTGTAACACTTCTTGTTTCTTCCATTTAAACAGAAAATATTAGTTACTTCAGGGTACCCTTTAACAACTGGGATGTGAGAGTGGAACTCACAATGGAGAAAGTACTTCAGTTAAAGAAGTATTTACTTTTTATGGTCTGTTGGTCATGTCCAGATCTCAAGAGGGATATGAAGTAGGGCTTAGTGGGCAAGTCAAAGCAATTCCCCAACCCTTTGGGAGCAGCCCAAACCTGACAGATCAAGGTGGTAGGTCAGAGCACCTTCATGTGTCCTCAAAGAGGAGAGGAAAGGTAGGAAGCACAGACCACTATAGCAACAAGGTGATGGGAATAAATTTATGAATAACAAGATTGAATATACTTAGATGATTATAAACTGATAGAGATGGATGCCATGAGGTTGACAAGAACACAGCAATAGTCAAGAATGATGGAAAAATAGCTCAAGATGGTTTGTGAATTTTAATTTTAAATTTCCTTTATAGCCACCTAAGTTTTTGATCCTCAGGTATTAAGTAATTAGACAAACAGCCCCTAAATTTTTCACTCTAAATATATTAGTCTCAGGGTGTTATGATGTTATGATCTGGTGATAAAGTTTTGAGAGTTTACTGACAGCTTCAAATTTGAGCATCAGAATCCAGACAGAAAATCTAGATTTTTGTTTGATTATATCCAAAGCAGTATCGAATTTTATCCGAGTCATTAGAAAATGTGCATCATGTCCATGCTGCTATTGCTCTTTAGAGACCCTGTTATGGACAAGAAAATCAAGGATGTTCGCTGATACAAAATGTTTCATTTTATATCAGAGTTTAGTTTTGATGTAAGAAGTAGTTTTATGGATTTTTTAAAAATTTTGTAATTTTGTGTATTCTCCCTTCTGAGTCCCATAACTGATCTACATAACATGACAGACTGTGTCAAAAAGAACTGTAACTATGAATCAAGTTTTTCTGATCATTGTCTTATTAGTCTTCTTTTTTTCTTTTTCTAGGGGATCTGGGTCCCTGAGGGAGAAACAGTAAAGATTCCTGTGGCCATTAAGATCCTTAATGAAACCACTGGTCCAAAAGCCAACGTGGAGTTTATGGATGTAAGTGAGACAAAAGCAGTGGTTTTGGGTTTTGGCAGGGGTTGTGTCTTCCTGTAGCCCACAGAGGTTGTAAAGACAAATTCCTGCCAGTTTTCTTTCTTTATATTTAATTGTACACAGCACCTGGCAGGGCTGGGTTTTCCACTGCATGTACCCCAAGGTACTTGGAGTTTTATAATAATTTGTTTTTCTGTCAGGATAAGATTAAAACTCCTCTGTCTCATGGGCCACATATTGTATCTTTCTGTGGCAGAAAAGCCATGGAAGAGAGAGGAAGAGTTGCAGGGGAGGATCTTACCATTGCATGCAGGTCTGTATTGGTGTAGAATTCACAGGAACAGATATTCAGCTCAGTTTTCCTCCACTTTGGTGTTCTGAGACTCTGGGAGCTGGCAGCAGCAGCAAAGCAAAACAGGGACAAGGGGAAAATTAAAATATACTGGATTTAAAAGTCCTTTTGCTTTACTAATCTGAAATACCATGGATAAGAGGTCAATATGGTAATTTCCATGAATGTTCTATGATCACAGAGGCTTTGCACTCAGTTTTCAGCTCTGTGTCAAGATCAAGGCTTATTGACACCATGAATCTTTATGTCTTATTCAGTGACAATTTTTTGACAAGTCATAGAAATTTGCACTCTTTTTGTAGGTCCCTCTTGTGAACTTGAAAATTGCATGACTTTTAAATCTTGCTGATCTGTTCAGTGTGTAGGCCTAATTTGTGAGCATTAATGAGACTGTAAGCCACAAGGAGAAGGTATTCCCTTTACTATATAGTCTATTTTTCCTAGAAGTGAACAGAAATGTGCAGTTATGGATTTATGTGTTCCAGACAGCTGTTCCATGTCTAAGTTCTTAGGCAGTTGAAGGAAGGCTGTGTAGAGGAAGGAATTTCCTGTGTTTTTTACAGAGCACTGCACATTTGTATTGGTTAGATCATTTCCAACCATGATGATTCTATCATTCACTGGTTCTGTTGCATTCAGTAATTATTTTGCACAAATAATAGATTAAAAAGGCAGTTTTGGCACTGTTTAAAAGGAATTAATTGCACTAAAGGGATAACAAGTATTAGATAGTTTGCTTAATGGACAAAGAGTCTTGCTAATAATACAGCTGCTCAAAGAGAACAGGTGAACTGGATGTCAGTGGTCAGTCAGTGATTCCAGCCTAAAGGTGAGGGAATTGTTATCACTGTGTGAAAGTCAGTGGAACTGAGCAATTTGTACCAGATCAGGATCTGACCCCTGATCTGATAGAGAAATAGCAGTAACAGCTCCTCCTCTGATACTGATTAACCTTGAAGCAAAGAAAACATAAGGTCCTTGGTAGAAGGCAAAGTTGCTTGTCTGAGGTTTCACAGCTCAGCTTAGGTCACTTTAGTTCACTAGACCATCCTTCCCCCCAGTGTTTGCACCAGAACATCTGATAAATGGCTCAGAAATGAAGAGGCTTTTGGGAACTCTGGAATTTTTGGCTGTACAGTTACAGTAGGAAAGGTTTCTCTTTAAATTAATAATTTCTCCTGAGTCTCTGACCCAGTGGCTGCAAGATGAGAGAAAAGGTAAAGTTGTCTTGAGTTCTTGAGGTTAAAAAAATAACCCTTAGGTTGTTTATAATTATTAAAAAAAGAATTAGACTTCATCATTACTTGATACAGGTGGCAGTAAGGAGAAATAATGTTTTCTATCAGTTCTGCTTTTGATATATGTGCAGTGATTTGTAATCCTTTTCTGTACTGCATTGATGAAGATGATTAAATTTCATTCTTGTGAAAGTTATGGTTTTAATGTGACTACTCCTCCCTGTCCCAAAAAAGACATAGTTTTAAACATTTAAAAATTTAAGCCAAAATTTAAATTATGAGGAGATAACCTAAATATCTTTCACTGAAATGTAAGTTAGAGTAAAAAATGTTTTACTCATTCTCTTCAAGACTTTAGTCAGTACAGCTATCCTGATAAAACTGGATGCTGTTTACTCATTTTATAAGGAAATATTCAAAAGTACTTCTGAATGCAAAATGCATCAGTTGTACTTCAATAAAAAGAGTGTTGTTGGTTAAAAGCACTTGTGTCATATTTTGAAAGGTATATAGGTGTCTAAATGCCACTGTGAACATGGTGGGGTTAATTCTTTCTTAAAAAGGGTCTGACAGTGTTGGTAGTGAATGGGAAGAGGAGGTTAGTGGGAAAGTGTCATTACATGAGTCACACCCTTGGCTTTGTAGGTGTGCTTTTGTCAGCAATTACTTCTTCCTGGGTCAGGAGAGTCCTTGTACCTGTAAGTAAAAGTTAGCATTCCTCTTAGAAAGGCTCTGGAAAATGGAAAGCCTTTGGCAAGCAGCAGTTTGTGTGCAGAGGGAGTACTTGGGACACTTCAGTGTCCACAGAAATGGCTGCTCTGGATGTTAGTGGCACTGCCCATAGACCTGGTGAAAACTTCTGATGCTGGCAGAATGTGAGTGTAAAAGGGCTCTGCAGCTCCTGAAATTCTGCTAAACGTTATGCTGAAGGAGTAAAGAAAAACATTTTGGCTCCTGGGCTGTCATTTCAGCAGCCTGAAGCCCTGCTAATGGGGCAGTAATGACTGTAATGATATAATGCCTGATGTCAGCTCTGCTGCTCTGGCCAAGCACCTCCCATCAGGAGATGATGAATTGCCCATCATCCAAAAGCACAGCCCTTCTCTGGGATTTTTCTTGAGGGAGCCACAGCAGAGTTTATTTTCCAGGCTTTTTCCACCCATTCCCAGCTAGCCCTTTCCCTTTGCTCCCTGTGTTTGTCCCTAGATTTGTCACTGCAGTAGGTCTGTGTCTGCTACAGCAACAAAAGGTGGAATCTCCAAAGTAGCCTGGACCAGGGCAGAGCTAGACTGCACAGGAGGCCTTCTCTGGATTTATTTTCACCACAGGTTGCTGTTACTGCTTTGTCAAGTGTAGGTTTACCCTATTTCCCCACATGCTTCTGGGTGTGTATTGTGTCTGGGATAATGATGGAGTCTAAAGGATTTTCCCCTCAGCATGGTCATGTGCTTAAGTTGCAGGGCAGAGTTTCTGCTCTGGCATGTCCCCAAAAGGGGGTGGAGTTTGAATTCAGGGTGCAAGTTTGAATTCTGCCTGCACCTATGTGTGGGAAGGAGTCACCATCAAGACACAGAGGAATCAGGAGGGAGCTCAGTCCTGCTCCTCACCCTAAGGCTGGGAACAGAATATATATATGATGGTCCTGAGTTTTATGGAGGGAAGAGAATCTTGTGGTGAGAAAAAACAGGCAAATGTGCAGCTGAGAAGCTACTTGGTAGTAGAACAGGAGCTACAGTTTCACATGGGAAAACAATTTCACCTCCTCAGCCTCAATTTGTGTGACTGTTATGATTGTCTGATAAGTCAAGTAGCCATTGGCCTGGTCAGATTATTTAACATCAAGCCAGATACTCAACTGACAATGTAATGAGTTCTAAAGACATGCTGCCGTTGGAAAGCAGAGCAAACAGCCTTTGAGGCTGAAAATATGTTCTTAAAAAACTTGTCATGGGGAAACAGTTGGTGAGGGACTTTCCTCTAAGCTTGATGTTTCCAGGAAGTAATCCTAAGAGCTGTGGTTGTGTCCAGGATTTTGATCCACTTACAAGTTTAATCTATCCTCCCTGAGTTTAAATGCTCCATTATCTGTTAGAATATAATTAGAGGCTGCAAGCACAAGTCAGCATCCACAGAGTTCCTTGGGAGTCCCTGAGCTCATTGAGATGAAGACAGTTTGACTGATGGTGGTCAGCTGATATTGGGCCAGAAGCTAATAATAGAAGGCAGTGCTGCTTAGCTAGGTGAGAAAGTTAACTTGGGAAAAATTAAACTGAAGGCTTTGGGATTTATGGTTGGAAATAAATTTCCCATTCTCATTTGTTTCCTGGTAAGAGAGCTTCAGAGGCAGTTGGTTTCTTTTATGGTTTTATAATTAAGATCTAGAGGCTTCCTGCCTTGGTCTGTGCTCGCTGCAGTTGATGCTGTCTGCAGTGGCAGCACTTGGAGTGTGGGAGGACATTTGTCACACCAAGTGCAGAGGTGGTAAGTGACAGTGACCTCCACCAGACATGTAGCAAGCAAATTAAAGCTGCATGTAGGGGACTGACACCCACATCTTTTATTTATGTCTGGCCTAATGAACTAAATGAATAAATCACTCAGATGTGCTGCAGAAACAGCTTTTTCTAAATTGTATGCCTGTCTTACAGTAAAGACAAGCCCTCAGCTTGAGGATATCAATATCAAACTTATCTTCAGTTCAGAGGATTGAAGACAAAAAAACATGTAGCTGAATAAGAATTCTTTCTCCTGTTCAGCTGAAACCCCACAGAGTTATGGATAGGCCTAGATGCTTTCTTTGTTTCCTCAAGTATGTCTAGATGGGAAGTACAGCCAGCTAGTCAGGTGTAGAAGGTGAGAGAAGACTTAGCTTTTCTTGGTTTCCAGTGTTGGCTTCAGACACAGGAGGGTTATAGGCTGAAGCTTTTTGGCTCTTTGCTTGCCCCGTGGTGGCATTCACAGAGCCCTTGCGGCTACAGACACACTCTGTAGTTCACAATTCCTCAGCAGACACCAGGTGCATTTGCCCTCAGCCTCCTTGTAAGATCCTGCCTTGTGTGACTATGAGGGTGATTGGTTAAATATTTTAAAAAATATTTTTAATTCCTTTTACACATCATGGTCCTACCCAACCCAGTGTTTGACCCAGGTCTTCAACAGACCATGTAGATGCTCCTGGAAGTCTGAAAAGAAATTGCTGCTAGCAGTAGTTGGATTCAGACATTCCACTGACTGCCTGGCTGCTTGGGAAATATAAGAGTTAATCCTGAATCTGAGCTGAAGGGGCAGGTTTAGGATCAAAGGAAATCCTTTATGGCAGCAGTGAGACATTTTTCCTTATCCTCTTTTGCTGTCATTGCTGTGCACATCCTCCTTTCCAGCAGCCATGAGGGGTCTGTAAGCACTGCCTGACT